CGCAGGATCCTGCAGTGCCAGGGGTGCATTGACCCAGGTTTGGGTGCTGGATCCTGCAGGATGCTGCAGGAGCCTGCAAGGCCTGACTGACCCGGGTCTGGATTGTCCCGAGCCAGCAGATCCCCCAGAGGGGGGGATGCGGCGCGGCCGTCCTGGAACAGAACGAGTTAGCCCTCCTCATCCGTCTGGCTGCACTAGTATGAAGTCGGGCATGTCCCTCTACAGGAAGAGAACTCACACATATCTCAAACATAGTCTGGGGAAGTTTTTCCAGGAATCTCTACTTGTTTGAGTATTTGTTTGACTTTTTTGTTTTTCGTCAAAAATCCGCTTGTAGGAGGACATGCGCGACCTGGGCTTCTGGTCACAGCGCTGTAGTCGGGCGAAGAGAACTATGCACATGCACCGATCCTGGCAAGGCCCATCCTTGACCCAGGATCGGTGCATATGCCTTCCGGGCCAAGGCAGGAGGGCGTATGCAGCGATCCTGGGCTCAGGATAGGTCTGGCCAGAATCGGTGCATGTGCACAGTTCTCTGTCCTTTATGTGGCCTCAAACACCATCAGGGATGTCCCCAAAGCGAACCCACCTGGCTCTGGACGGCCCTCTCCATGTCCAAGCCGGGGGCCCCAAGCATTCCCCAAGCTTGTCCGGAGGAACAATTTCGGCACAAACACAAAGAGCATCATGGATTTTCAATCTGCATCGACAGGCGGGCAAGTGTGGGAGATGAAGGGGCGAGAGGAACATGCCCAACTCAATCAAGCGTGCGTGAAGTCTTGGAGCGTGTGTCGAGTTCTCTGTCCCCCCCAGGGCCCCGTTAGACTGTAGTCGATCCCAGGTGGCCCCGAGGCGGCCCAGGCTGGTCCGTAGCAATTTTGGCTCGAGGAGCGCTCAGCGCCAGTGTCGCGCATCGTGCTCACTGCCCTGTCACCATCCGACGAAGAGAAACTTCAAGCAGGGGCGAAGCGCCCTGGCTCGCCTATAGCCCTACCAAACAATGTTCTCAGAACCTTTTGCGGCTCCCACGAAATGTTCTTGGAACATCTCTGCTGGGTATCGCCTTGTTGTTTAACACATCGGGTTTATGTTCTAAGAACAGTGCTTTTGTTCTTAGAACATCTCTGGGTTCAGAGAACATTTCGTGGTAGGACTATAGCAATGCCGGGACGGTCGGCCCCTGCTCAAAAGTTGCATAAGCATGATTGCTCGGAGTTCCGCGCAGATCTCTTGGGCCTGCGCTGGGCCGCCGCTCCGGGCGAGCCCCGCACGCGCCGGGGAGGGGCGCCCAGCTCGGAGCCAGGAAGTCCGTGCGCAGCTCCGACCGCTGATGCTTATGCCGTCTCTCGTTCCCCGGCACCATGTCTACGACAGGCGTCCTCAAGAGCATGTTTGCCGAGAAGGGCTTCGGCTTCGTGACCCCGGACGACGGCTCCGATGACTGCTTTGTGCACGTCAAGGACAATCCGGAGCTCGACGGGATCGATTCAGGAGGAGACGCAGTGACGTTCGACAAGGAGTGGGACGATCGCAAGGGCAAGTACAAGGGCGTCAACTGCAGGGTGACAGGTGGAGGCGGCGGTGGCGGCGGTGGTAAAGGCAAGGGCAAGGGCAAAAGCAAAGGCTACTCCGCTTGGTGAGCACTAACATTCCTTGGCCCTGCTGTGCTGGCGGCAAGGGCAACAGCAAGAACGACCGGTACCCGTGAGCAACATTCGCCCGGTGGTGAGCTGTATAGTCATTTATTATTGTTGGGTAGTTCAGCAAGTGAATAATATCCAGTCTCAATGTTCCACAAATGAGAAAAACCCGCCTCGACCTCAGAGGCCGCAAGACTTCGAGACGCTTCGATGAGATCCAACGTCCCGAAGAGGCAAACATAGTAATACAATCACTTGGTTCGACTGTGCTTCACATGCCAGCGCTGTCGGGGTTCAGGAAGCCCAAGACGGCCCAGTACACCACCTAGATCGCCTCGAGACCCAAAAGAGCTCCGCGGCCTCGGGGTCGTCCAAAAACGACTCTGGGTGAGAAACTGGTCACGGGGAATGGGTCGAGATTTCTGGGGGGTCGACGTAACGAAAACATCATGACGTCGGGGTTCTGGGAAAGTAGGTACCCAGTCGGGGGCCAAGGTTGCACGTAAGAGTGACCCTTCGCCAGAGTAGCCTTTGGGACGGGCTCATCGATCGCGGCTGCTTGCGCGCTTCGATTTGGTCACCTTGCGCCCCCTTAGTCCGCGCACCAAAGGTCACTCTTGCCCAGGGTCACTCTTGCGCGTAGCTGGAAGAGATGTGGGTCAGCGCAAACGGGGATCAGCCAGACCGGTGGAGTTTGCAGGATCCTGTTGAGCCAGAGGCGGTTCGACCCGGGTCAGGGCGCAGGATCCTTCCGGATCTTGCGTGATGTTGTAGGATCTTCTCATGCCTGACTGACCCGGGCTTGGATTGACCCGGGTCAGTGCGTGAGACAGTCAGGGCGGATGGGTCTTTCTAGTTTCGGCCCTTGGGGCCCTCGCTGGGGACCGCGCATTGAAACAAATTTGGATTCCCAGATCCCAATCTTTTTCCAGCGCCTTCCTACTTCGAGAGTCGCTGTGTGTTTGCAGATTTGTGCTTTGGGGCCGCCGGTACCCGATCTACTTTGTCCGTCTTCCTGCTTCATGTTTTTGCACGTGCTTCTTCCGACTGGCGTGTACCGCTGCCGCTATCCATCTTTCGGGCCGGACGAACGGATAAGATAGGGAATGGGGGGGCTACGAATTCGGCTGCGTGCAGCTGGTTTCGGACCCCCCGCCAGGCCCATTCCTCGATGTGTGGGCCGTCCTGGCACGGGGAAAACCCAGCTGCGTGAGCTGATTCTCTACGCCGCCCTTCGCTATCCTGCCCTTCTGGCCGCCCCGATTGTCGCTTCGCCTCGAAACTCGATTCAGAGCGCACCCCAGGAGTGGTCTGGGGATCATTGGTACCTTGGTGTCCCCCACGCTTGGAGGCCAGGCTGAGCCGCTTCTCGCGCCTGTCGCAGCCAGCGCCGCGCTTCAATCTAGACGCTCCCGAGGCCCGGAGAGGGCCCCCAGAGGCCGAAGATAACGAAAAACCTCCCGGCATGATTTTTTCATGACCCGGGGGCCCTGGGTCCCCTGGAGTCCCGACCCTTTCCCCGGGGGCCAGTTTTTCTGTCCCGCGAGGCGCTCCGGGCACCGTTCGACGGGGCCCCAGCGGCCGAGGGCACGACGCAGAAGTGCCCGCCCTGGAGTGCGAAGGCCTCGCGGCCGGTGCCGCGGACCCCGGAGGCGCGACGAGGACGAGGACGTGGAGGACCACAGTGACGACGTGCCCGTCCCGTCACGCTCGCTGGCCGCGCCCCGCGCGCAAAAGTGCCGACGGGGCCTTCCCGGGGCCCCTGCATCCCCGTACCCGCCGGTCGTTGAAAGTAGGTATTTCGGGACTCCCAGATCCCAATCTGCTTCAAGCGCCTGCCTACTCCAAGAATCGACATGCTTTTGCTGTGCTTTGTTACTCTCTGGGGGGACCTGGACCCAATCTACCATATCCGCCTTCCAACTTCATGTTTCTACCTACTTCTTTCGACCGACGTGTGCTGTACCGTGCGCCCTGAGGATGCGGGCTGACTGTCTGCCACGGCGGGAGCACGTCTGGGGAGGGCCCTCGCGGGCCGGGGGGGCCACGGGCCTCGGGCGGAGGGGCCCCCCCTCGGGCGGCCGCGGGGGCCGCGCCCCTCGCGGAGGACACGCAGGCCTCGCTGGCGTCCGTGCAGTCCAGCTGCATGCAGATGGCCACGGACCACGACGCGAGCGTCGCGGGAGCCGCCTGCGGCCTCTCTTCTTTTTCGTTGGGAGGGTGCGCGGGCCCCTCTCTCGGGCAGTGGCGGCGTTGCTCGGGGCTCGAGCGGGAGGGGGAGGGGGAGGGGGAGGAGGAGGTGAGGAGAAAGAGGAGGAGGAGGAGGAGGAGGAGGAGGAGGAGGAGGAGGAGGAGGAGGAGGAGGAGATGGAGGAAGAGGAACAGGAGTCGGAATAGGAATAGGAATAGGCCTGGGAGTAGGAATAGGAGGAGGAGGAGGAGGAGGAGGAGGAGGAGGAGCTGGGGGAGGAGGAGGAGGAGGAGGAGGAGCAGGAGGAGGAGGAGGAGGAGGAGGAGGAGGAGGGAGGGAGGGAGGGAGGGAGGGAGGGAGGGAGGGAAGGAGGAGGAGAGAGGGAGGGCGAGAGGGAGGGGCTCGAGGCCTTGTGTATTTTGGCGTGCTCGTGGGCTCTCGGTCCTCGTGCCTCGGCTCCGCTGCTCGCCCCTCCACCCCCCTCCGCGGCTCCTCCTCTTCGTTCCTCACTCATCCCTCCTGATTTCCCTACCCCCCGTCATCATCGTGCTCCTGCCTCGTAGGGGAAACGGAGCCCAACAGAACAGGGACACTTGTCTTCTGTTTCTGTTTCCAGAAAGCTGCATATTCAGGAGGGGAAAGAACCCACAGACACAATTCATCGTCAATTCCAGAGAAAATATCAGAAACTGTTGGAACTGGGGGGGGAAAACAAACACCCAGAAAATATTGGAAAATATGGGGAATCTTGTTATTTGTATGTATTTATATGTGTGTGTGTGTGTGTATGTCCCAGGGCTCCTTCAGGAAGCTGTATACGCGTGGCCATCCTGGGCGAGAGCCGGATGCACATGTGGCCGCGTGTCTTTCCAGGGTTCGGCCTCGTGTGGCCAAGTACGGCAGCCGTCCGCGTGTGCTTCCAGCCTCCTGGGTCGCTCAAGACACCCAGCTTGATGTTCTCGATCGCGTTCTGATCGTCCAGAATGCAGTCAAGACGCTGAAATAAGGAACTGTTTGGGTTCGGAAGGGGCTCGATGTTCCCCAGGTTCCTCCAATGCTGTCCCTCTCGCCCTCCTTGGGCACGGAGGCGCTTTTAGGGCCAAACAGGGGCTTCGTTCCTTATTTAGCGTTCCTTCTTTCAGCGACCCGACTGTAGGGGATGCAGAACACAGTTGGTAAGGTCGAGTTGAAGTGGCCAGTGCGCATCTCGTTGGCTTACGCTGTTCCGCACTCGCCCAGTGCGCCCCATCGACGTGGTCCGCACGCCATTGTGCAGCGAAGCGCTTTGCAACACGACAAGGATGAATAGGACGACAATATGAGTGTGAAGGAGAGGAAGGGGAAGACGGCGACGTCGACGCGGAGGACGGACAGGAGAGGCATGCCCCATTTCGAGCAATCCCACGGTTGCGCCAGGCTGCCCGCAGCTACCCATTGAAGGCCCTTGCAAATCCATAGCATGACGCACCTTCTGCCGTAGCAGGTCCTTGTAGGTATCTGTTATTCGTTTTCTGTTATACCCAGGCGTTCCCACACGGCGCTGGCACGAATCCTGACGTCCCATGGCATTCCCAGACGGCCGCGATCGCGAAACATGACACATGCTCTCCTGTTTTGCAGAAGTTGCCGTCTCCGAGTCCTCGTGCGCGTTTTGCAGCTTTGGACAAGGCAGGCCGCCCATGTCAGTATCTGGGGCTCCCGAGGTTCCCGCTCGTCTCCCGCCGAGCAGAAGCCTGCGTTTTCGAGCAGCAGAGGAGGGGGCTCAGTACATCTTCCATGTCCAACCCATGATGTCTCTTCCTTGCCTCGGGAAGGGCGGACGGGGCCGTGGGAGATCAGAGGGGCGCGGTCAATGGATTGCAGGACGCGCCGGGGAGCTGAAGACCATCGCTGAGGCCAAGAAGTTGCTGCAGGCGGGATGGGGGATCCGATCTTGAGCATCACGGGTCATGTGCTATGACTGTGGTTGTTACGCCAGTCACGGTTTCGCCACGATGACGCATGTGACGGTGTTGGCGCTTGCGATGCCATGCATGGGGTGACATGTATGGGCGGATTTGCACAGGCGCCGAAAGTATTCGAAGCCGTGGTTGTACCTACGTATTTGGCGCATGTTTGAGGCTATATGCTTATAGAAGCTGAGAGAAGATGTCTGGCGTAGTCGATGTCGCATACGTGCGTGGTGATGCTGGCTGCTGTCTAGTATGGGCACGTATTGAAGTTGTGCCTATGGATGTGCGTCACGCAGGTGATTCGTATGGTACAAAACAGCAGCGCCACTCACCATACGGTGCCAAACACTTGGATTTAAGTTCCTTATCACATTCGTGGGACCAGATTAGCGTCCACTATCATTGTGAGGTTTTCGTCGATCCCGGTAAAGTCCTCGATGTTAGTTTCGCACTGGTCTCAGTCATTGTGCTGACATGTTCGTGCTATCTTGTAGGGCGTTCGAGGCCGACTCAGGCCATGTGCGGCCATTTCGGGGCATCTTGGGCGTTCTGGCCGCTCGTGACAAGCCCCGTCCAGATTCAGGGACAGAGGGAAACTGGGAATCCCGACGGGGAAGACGGAGTCGGCGTCCATGTTATTGTCCTTTTCGGTGGGCGATGATATTCCAGAAGCGAGCCGCCGATGTCGCAAGCGGAATCGTTCATGCGTCCGCGCTACAGCGTGGTGCTGGCACTTCCCTTCCCTCAGATGGGCAATGTTAAGGGGGGACAGGCTCAATGGGGGACGCATCGACCCCCAACCGCCCATTCATCGCCCAATTGGTCCCGATAATCCACCTGCCCAGGAACGTGATGATTCGCAATCGGTGGCCTATTGCCGCCCTATCGGCGATATATCGCCGAATCCAGGTCGATGGTCCCTCACTGAGGCAAGCCCTCCCTAACATCCTCCCTCAAGTGGGGTAGTGGCATGTTCCTTCCATCTCTCCTCCCGTCGTCTCTCTCCAAAAGCTAGGGCGACTTTGTGTTCAGTACGGTAGGTTTGCGTCGTGTCGACCAGCGGCGACCCCGACGCCGGCGTTCAACATTGAATGCCGGCGGAGGCCCAGAATCGGTCGATGTTGAATGATCGGACGTTACGGAAATGGCCGATCGTTCAAGGTTGAACGATCCTCGCGGCGTCAGGGACCAACGCCCAGGTCGACACGGCACGGACCTGCCGTAACGATTTGCAATCAGAAGCAGGATGTAGCCCTCTAACATTGGAGACTGGCAGCTCAAGCTTGCAATGGAACCGTGTCCCAGACCCAGGAGCTCGACACTGGCACCTGTTGCCGAAGCCCGACCCTCGCAGTCTCGTGGCCCCACAAGGGGGCCGGCGGATCTGTCTTCGTGCCCAGAACTTGGAACAACAAACTTGCCGTAGTCTGTCGTCGGTGCGCGCATGGCCCTGCTCGTCCTCCAATTTTTCTTCCCCCCCCGCCCGCCCCTCCCTCCCCCCGCAGTGTGGGGGGCCAGAGCTTTGCGCGTCCCTTGCCCGGCCCGCTTTTTCTTTGCCGGCCCAGGCCGTGGTCCGAAGGAGAGGCAGGGCTGGGCCTGAGCGCTGCTTTGCTGGACTTCGTCCGTGTTTTGTGCTCCGTCTTGGCAGGTAGGTGCAGGAACACAGGCAGAGCAAGACGAATCACAAAACGAAAACACCACGAGAAACAACGTTGAGGTCCAGCCCTGATAAGAGCTGCGGTTGCCCGCACTGCCATGCTGGCGAACAGCTGGGCGTGGGACGACAACTTGTTGGCACAGTTGTCTTACGTTTCCAGTGCTTCCCTCCCCGTTCGCCACTCTGGGAAGGCGGAGAGAGGAAGTGGAGGGTGGATCCAGGCAGCCCAGATCGTGTCTGAGCAGACTGGGTCGAAGGATCGCGCCGTATCGCCCGCCGATGTATCGGCGACGCGGCGCGAACAGGAGTCGCACCTTCCCCATCCCGACGTCGCCGATGCACCACCGATGCCGATGCGCTGCTGATGCATCGGCCACTTGGCGCGATCCGCCGAGGCAAGCAGTCCGGTCGAGTTCGCGCTCGGCCCACCGTCGGGCGCGATCCTCCGACCTCACTGGTTGTCGGCGCCACTCAACCAATCTGCAGTGTGGGTACGGGAGGTGTGTGTGTGTGTGTGTGTGTCGCGTCAACGCGGCGGCGACCCCGGTGCGCGCGCGTTCAAACAACACGTTGCACGCCAGCGGCGGCCCCGGGTCGGCCGACGTATCGAACGGTCTGCGCTGTCGAGAAGCTGCGAGTGTTCAAGGCGGAACGAGCCCGCGTGGTCCCGGCACGAGCTTGCCGCAGGCACCGGATTCAGCGAGTTGCGAAGCGTCTTGGCGTCCTATAGTCCTACCACACCATGTTCTAATAATCTGTTGTGGTCTGCAGGAAATGTTCTCAGACCCCTTTTGGCTGGGGCTGTCTTGTTTTGACACATCGGGTTTATGTTATGATAACATTGCTCTTGTTCTTAGAACATTCCTGGGTTCTAAGAACATGTCGTGGTAGGCCCACAGGAATACTGGGGCGGTCGGTTACTTCTCAATGGATCTGTGCCCAGACATGCGACGCCCAGCTGTTTTCAAATGCGCGCTTTTCCTCCTGAGTCGTTATTTGATGGTCCTGGGGCCCAGTGAGGACCTGAGGCCTTCGGATGCAACTCCTGGGAGGACGAATTCTGACTGCCGTGGTCCGAAATCCGGCCTAATCCCGCTTCATCTCGATGAATTCCGGTGAATTTGGCTTAATCCGGCTTGACCGGGCTTAATCCCGCTTGATCCGCGGCAGAATCGGGCGTTGCAGCCCCCCAACGGGGCCGACTTCTCCCGAATCCTTCCCACGAAGACCCCCCAGGTTGTCGCCTCCCTAGCGGCCCACGACGACCAAGACACCCTCCCGCCCTGATGTCCGCACGACGCAGGCCTGTGTATCGCTGGGGTTAAGTCGGGCCTGTCCCTCTACAAGGGGAATCTCCAAAAATAGTAAGAAATAGTCTGGGGACTATCTTGGGGGTATTTTGTGGCATCTTTTGAGAATTTGTTGGCTATTTTTTTTTGTTCGTCCAAAATCCCCCTGCAGGGGACATGCCCGACCTAACCCGAGCATTTTCTTTGGGTGGAGGGCAAAGGGTGAAATCTGCAATGCCGTCTCGATGGATTCTCGAGGCTTAAATCTGCAAAGGGTGAATCACAAGACGGGCCGATTTTCTCCCTGAGCCCTGAGCCCTCCACCCTAGGAAAATGCTCAGGTAACTTCTGGGGCCCCCCTGCCGCAGGAGACCAGCTCCGGCGCGGTGGAGGAGCCGAGAAGGGCGGCCGGGCATCGCAAGAAGGGGCCGAGGGTCCGGCAGGCTGGGGAGGAGGCGAGAGAGGAGGAGGAGGAGGAGGAGGAGGAGGAGGAGGAGGAGGAGGAGGCCGTCTCACTGCCTGGCCCCTCTCCGCACCGGCCTGCGACCGTGAATTGTCGCCAGGAGGAGGAGGGAGGAGGGAGGAGGAGCAGGAAGAGGAGGAGGAGGAGGAGGAGGAGGAGGAGGAGGAGGAGGAGGAGGAGGATGCGGTAGGTGCAGTTTGGGCATGTCCCTCCACGGGAGGAATATTGTAGTGGCCTCCGGCCAGTGCCGCCGATCCGGGGCGCTCCTGATGCTCTTCTTGTTGAAATTGACGACGAGGACGACAACGGACGACCAACGGTCGACGAGCGGGATAATTACGACGACGACCGACGAAGGAGTTATTGACGACGGACCGACGACGACGACGACGACGACGACGACGACGACGACGACGACGACGACGACGACGACTGACGGGGAACGGCTGCCGACGACTGACGGGGAACGGCTGCCGACGGCCGACGACAGACGACTGGTGACGGCGACGGGTTGAAGGTTCTTCGTTCATCGCTTTCGCTTCCGAGCAATACCAAGTCAGGCCGTGCACCTCTTGCCTGGCAGCACGCGAGTGAGCGCCTCTTGGGGCTTCTTGGGGGCCTTTGGGGCCTCTTGGGGGCCTCTCGGGGTCCTCTTGGGGGCCTCTTGGGGACCTCTTGGGGGCCTCTGGGGGCCCCTTGGGGGCGCCTCGGGGGCATCTTGGGGGCTCTTGGGGGCTCTTGGGGTCATCTTGGGGTAGAGGACTAGAAAGGTCCGTTCGGATTCACCCTCTTGAGGCCATCTTGGGGGCCTCTCGGGGTCGTCTTGGGGGGCCTCCAGGGCTATATTGGGGCCCTCTTGGACCGTCTTGGCTCCTCTTGGGGGCCTCTTGGGCTGTCTTGGGGCGATCTTGGGGGCCTCTTGGACCGTCTTCGGCGCTTCTAAGACGGCAAAGGCGATAATGTTTAAAATGCTTCAAAACCTATTAGCAATTTTATCATTGTACCTCTCGGGGGTCATCTTGGGATCTCCTTGAGGCGTCTTGGAGGCCTCTTGGGTCGTCTTCAGGCCATCTTGGGCGTCCAGGAGCGCTCTTGGGCCGTTTCGGGCGCCTCCTTGACCGTATTGGTGGCCTCCTGGGCCCCTGTTGGCCGGCCCGTCTTGGGGCGGTTTGGGATTCCCGGGGGGGGGGGGGGGGGGAAAGGGTGCACCCGATGACCACCCCCCCCTCCCCCCCCTATCCCTGCAGACCCCCCCCGGCACCCCCCCAGCAAAGCTGAAGCTCAGGTTGTAGCTTTCTTAAACTCACACGCCTCCACGGGAGGAATATATTCAAAAGTGGTCAAGGGATAGTCTGGTGACGATTTGTTCCGTGCTCTCGTGGCCGTTTTCGTGACTGTCTCCTGCACGGGAGGAATAATAATCCAAACATTTTGCGCTCCGCGCGGATTTCTTGGATCTGCGCTGGACCCCCCTGGCGGCGCCTCCGGCGCCGCCCCTGGCGCGCTCCGCGCCAGGGCGGGGGTCCAGCGCGCGTATCCGAGAAATTTGCGCGGAGCGCCAAAGTTTATGTTTATGGCGTTCTTTCTTTTTCTAATATTCAAAACTGGTCCACAGATAGTCTGGTGACGATTTGTCGTGCTCTCGTGACTGTTGTTGAACACTGTTAGGCTACTGTCCGTTTTTCTGCCACAGTGCGCCTGTAGTAGGAGGACGTGCCCGACCTAATGGTAGGTCCATCTGCCATGCGCAGAGGGGGCAGGGGGAAGTCTTCTTAATTAGAAGCACCCCGAAGGCTCGGGCCTCACATCTATAGACAAGGCCCGCGCCTTCTAAGGAGCAGCATCTGTCTTAGAAGACTTCCCCCTCTCCCTACACCCTTATGCGCGCCGCCAAGTTCACGCGGCGTTCAAGGTCGAACTCCGCATGATGAAACGAAGCGGAAACACCGAGGGACACAGTATAACGCCACTGGGGCCCGACGGGATTCAGCTTTAAACAATCGGGGCTGTGATCGTTGCAAGGTTCAACGATCGATGCAGTGTCAACAAAAACCTTTGCGCGCACCGACGCCGCACGAACTTACCGTATATCGCTCCAGAGCGTTCCCAGACGCTCTCGGAGCGTTCCCGAGCGCTCTGGATGGGTCGTGGCGCCCGATGCATCCTCCAGAGCCGCTGGATCTCAGAGATTTCCGAGTCGTCCCCATTTTCGAAGTCCTGGAGGTTGACACCAACACCAATATCGGCGTTGTGCCTCCACTGAGGGATGAGTATCCCAATCTCGGTGATGGTGGTAAGATTCTGGCTTCGTAGGCGGTCGAATGATTACCACCAACACCGATGTCTAGGGTCATCTTCCCCTGGTGGAGGCAACGCCCTGTGTTGGTGTTGGTGTCAACTTCCAAGCCTCCAACATTTGAAGTTACTTTTGTCTTGCCGTCGTCTAGGGGGGAGGTCACGCGCGCGGCCCCGAGCCTCCCAGGCGGTCTCCGAGAGCAGGTGGCCTCCGTGCCTGTGATCCCCTGCAGACGCCCCACCCCCTGCAGGGCCAGTCGACTCCGCAGGCAGCCGATTCAGCATCGATACCAGCCGGCTCGATCCGAGTCGATTCCGATGTTCCGACCATCCGGTGCGGCCCGATGCTTGCACTGGCGCTGCTGTGCATCCTGGCGTGGCCGGTCCGACTCGATGTGTGACGTTGTCCCGATGCGAATTTCCCGATCCGTTTTCCCGATTCGATTCTGATCCTATCTCGATCCTCGAGGGTCGAGCTGGGGCTTTTATGGCCTCGGGGGGAGGCTCAGGCGCTGCCCGCTGCCACAGAGCGCGGCGCCGTGGGCGACGACGCACATTGAGTTTTTGAGCTCTTAAATGCTTGCCGTTCTCCCTCCTCTTCTCTCTCCCTCTTCTCCTCAGTCGACTCATCCACCCTTTATTATGGCGCTTGGCAAATTTCAGGATCACTGTCTGCAACGCTGTTGCGTGAAACAGGAGGGGCGCGAGCCGACTTAGGTCACCTTGGCGACAATTCACGGTCGCAGGCCGGTGCGGAGAGGGGCCAGGCAGAGAGGTCAAGAACAGACGTAGTGCCACGCAGACCTCCTTCTCTTCCTCCTTCCTCCTCCGCCTCCTCTGCTTCCTCCCCCGCCTTGTCTTCGTACTCCTCCTCCTCCTCGTCCTCCTCCTCCTCCTCCTCCTCCTCCTCCTCCTCCTCCTCCTGGTATCCTTCCCCGCCCTGCCATCGCCCCGCCCAGGAGACCTACAGCTTCCTGCAGCGCAAGTCCGGCTCTGCGCTGAAGACGAGCGCGGACGCTGCCGCACTCTGCTCCCCTGCCACGCGCGCCCGCGCGACGGCGCGGACTGTGCCATCGCGCGGGCGGTCGTCGGCCACGCGCAGAGGGGGGTCGGGGGAGGGGGGAAGGCTTCTTAGAAGCGCCCCTACTTCTTAGAAGGCGTGGGCCTGGTCTATAGATGTAGGGACGGCGCCTTGTGAGAAGCAGCCTCCCTCGAAAAGAAGCCTTCCCCCCTCCTCCTACCCCCTTCTGCACGCCGCCAAGGTCGCACCCCCGGAGCACCGCGCGCCCCACGCTGACCTGCGATGCTGCCGCCCCTGGCACACGCCAGACGAAGCCAGGACGAGGACAAGATCGGGTGGGGATAAGTCGAGAATCTCCAAGACTCAGCGGAGGACGTGTAGGGCGCCGCGGCCTTCTTGGAGAACGCTCTGGAACGGGTTTACCCTCGTCCTAGCCCCGCCCGAGTACGACGGTGCGCTTCCAGGCATCCTGTGTCTCACGGGGTCGGTCAGATCGTGGAGCTCGCCCCCCCCCCGGCAGTCGGAGGAGGAAAGGGCTCCCAAACCGCTGCCTTTCCGTCGTTTATCCCATTTCTGGGCATCCTGGGAGGCCCTCGTCGTCACCGCTGGATTCGCCTCGCGATTCTGGCCAGAACACGCTCTGAGAGAGGTCTGGGGAGTAGCGATATCCGTACCTGGTGGTCTCCTCAGGCATCCCGTGTCTCACATGGAATTGGGCCACCCCAGAAGTTACGAGGACAACTCCTTGAGGCCCCGAGCGGCGCGCAGTATGTGTACTGTCTTGTCCATACGTCAGCTCCGTGAGCTATGGGTCCACGTTTGCGCGGCGATGCTCCAGCGTCAGTCCGACGCAGATCCGACGTATTTTCGACGTAGTCCGATGAGAAGCCGACGTAAGTCCGACGTGGATTAGATGTAAATCGGGTCTCAAATTGCCGCGCGAGGCCTCCAGGATTTTCTTCATAAGGGTTCCTGTTCAGTCGCGTAGTAAGGAATCAGCGACTTTTCAAGGTTACCCTTGCATCCTTCCCCTTCGGCCCATCCTTGGCCGCTTTCGTTAGCCGCGCCCCGCTCGCACAGAGTCGACATGGCCTTCCAAGGCCCTTGCACTCTTGTCGCTGTACGGGTTGACTGTAGGGTTCCTGGCTGCAGGTCGGGCGGAAGACTGCTCGGCCGCCTCTCACGAGAGTTTGAATGCATGGGCGCAGTCGATTTTCCGCGGCTGCTGGCCGGCCTCCTCCTCCTCCTCCTCCTCCGCCTCCTCCTCCTCCTCCTCCTCCTCCTCCTCCTCCTCCTCCTCCTCCTCCTCCTCCCTCCTCCTCCTCCTCCTCCCCCCCTCTGCCCCTCTTCCTGCTCCTGCTCCTCCTCCCTGGGCCTCCTGGGCCTCCTGGGCCTCCAGGAGGCCCAGGGACGACGAGCAACGCCAGAGAGGGCTGGCGTTGCCCCGACTGGCCCTCCTCCGCTGGCTGTGGGGGGCAAGTTCTGGGAGCCTCCAATGTGCCGTCGTGCGGGCTCTGACGATTCGACGATGATCGACACTCGGCGCGAATCGACGTTCACCGGCGCACCAAAAACGGAGTTGGAGTTACGAGGGTGAAGGAGGCTCCCACGCTGCGCAGCCGAACCTTCCCCGGGCGCGCCGCCGACAAGCAGTCCGATGCCTCCCCGCTTCCGTGGCGCGTGCAGCAGAGCGCGCAGGGCGAGAGCTCGGGCCAGTCGCGAGCGTGCAGCAAGGCCAGGATGCGCGGGCGCCCCGGGCGCCTGGGCCGCGGCAGCCCCCCAACGAGCTTGGTGCGCCGAGGCCGGAACGAGGCAGGGGCGCAAGGCATTTGACAGTGGAGCCCAGGCCACAAGAAACCTTACACAAGAAACCCAACCCTGAGACCCCAGGACGTCCACCGATGTTTGGCGTTGGCACGCCACGCTTTTCACGGCAAAAGCATCGAAACCCAAGAAACCCAGGGCACCCTAGAGGCAAGCAGGGTGTTTCTTGGCATGGGCCCCCACTGTATACGCGTCGGTCGGAAGAAGTGGGTCGCAACATGAAGTAGGAAGGCGCTGGAAGCAGATTTGGGTCCCGCCCGCCCCCTGCAGAGGATGGCAAGGGGGAAGACCGCTCGACTCTTGAAGTAGAAAGGCGCCTGAAGAAGGGGTCGAAACATGAAGCAGGAAGGCGCTGGAAGCAGACTTCGGCCGCCGATCCGATTCGTCGACTCGATCCTGGGCTCTCTTGCCCCTTGGCGGGCCGCCGATCTTGGGGTCCCTCGGGCCTTGCAGCTCTTCTGCAACTGGCGCTTACGCTAGGTTTCGGGCCCCAGGACCCTCACAGGTGTATCGGGCTCGGAAATGCAGCAGAAAGATAACATAACATAACCCAGCATACAGCGACCAAATGGGCGGGTAAACCGCAGCTTGCCTGCTTTGCAGACCTGCGCGCCGCCACGCTGCATCCGGGCAGGCTGTGCTGACTGGCGAGGGGGAGGCGTGCGAGGAGGAGGCGGAGGGAAAACGCGGCGAGCTGACAAACCCATGCAGGAGGAGAGGGGGGAAGGGAGACGGCAAAGGAGCAGCAGGCAAGCACGCACGATGGGGGCGGGCGGGGGGCGGGGGGGGCGAGGGTCGTCGGCGGCGTACGGGTGGTCGTCGTGGGTCGCCGTGCCACTGGGGGTCGTCGCGGTTCGTCGGGGGAGAGGCGGAGGGTCGTCGTGGGGCAGGGGCGGAGGGCCGCCAGGGGAGGGCGGAGGGTCGTCGTGGGGCTGTGGCGGGAGGTCGTGGGGCTGGGGCGGAGGGTGTTTGGTCGAGTTTCTTCACGCTGCTGCACTTTTTCGCGCCGTCGGATCTCAAAGATCCGATCCGAGCTGCATGGCCGATGTGCTCACACCTCCACCGCCTGGCCGAGTCGGACTGGGCCAGGACGAGGATGAATCCGTTCCAGAGCCTTCCGGAACGCTCGCAGAGCGTTCCGCAACGCTCTGAGAGGGCCGCGTCGCTCGATACATCCTCCAGAACCGCCAGATCCAGGCCGTCTGACGAGCCGGCGAGGCCGGCGAAAGCTCACCACAGAGCACTTGCAAAACAAGCTGTCGCATACATCACAGGTTTGAGATCGTCAATTGTTGTATTGTGTTGATCCTCACCCGAGTCTTTCCTCGTCCTGGGTTCGTCTTCGCCTGGCCGAGGCTCCCCGCTCAGAGAGGTGGCCGATCGAGGATCGAGGGCCCGGGCCCTGGGGCGCCTGCAGGACCCCTTGTCTTCGGTTGCACGTCGTGGGAGCCTGGCGCACCCTCTCAATCCCGCCTTGAGCGTCGACTAGCGTCGATTCGCGTCTGGCAACCGATGAGATAGCGTCGCGATTTAGAGCGTCGACTCGCGTCGATTTAGCGTCTTCCTTTGCACATCGTGGGAGCCTGGCACGCCCTCTTACTCCCGTCTTGAGCGTCGATTCGCGTCTAAAGATCGATTTTGCATCGACGTAGCGTCAATGTGGCGTCGATTTAGCGTCGACTCGCAAGAGCCGGCAATGTGGAATTGGGAGGCTCCCGTGAGTTGCCACCGAACCCGTCCTGGCCTCCGGAGGCGCCCGGGACCTCCAGCGATCCTCTCTGGGCTCTGACGCTCGACGCCGCGATTGCCTCCACGCCGGGGCTCCCCGGAGCTCCGGGCCCCTCTCCGGGGACCGGCCTCTCGTCGTGAGGCTTGCCTTGGGGCATTCCTGGGGCCCGGCAGTCGGGCATGGACAGAACGCCCCCCCAGGCAGGCCCACGGAGGAACTCTGCACGAGGAGGAGGAGGAGGAGGAGGAGGAGGAGGCAGAGGAGGAGGAGGCGGAGGAGGAGGAGGAGGCGGAGGAGGAGGCGGAGGAGGAGGAGGAGGAGGAGGAGGAGGAGGAGGAGGGGGTTCGCTCGAGATGGGTCTTCGAGTGCACCGGTGCAGTCCCATTTGCGTTTCGCTGGATGCATGCGTCGATTGCTGTTGGGCGTCGACGAGCTGCCCCGCGGGGTTGCACCTGGAAAGCAGTGCCGTGCGCACGGAGTCCCGGGCAGCTGCCATGGTCCACGCCCGAGGCAGGGGGCCCAGGGAGGCCGAACACATCGGCAAGGCAAGTAGCGTCGGGGCCAGGCCCATGCACACATTTCCCCCAGCTGCCCACGTCTGCCCACATACGGCACCCATCGGTCGTTGAAAGTAGGTATTTCTGGATTCCCAGATTCATATACCTCAATCGAAGAAGAATAGCCCGGCATGAACATACACTTCTGGCGCTTCGCGCGGATGGCTTGGATCCACGCTGGGCCCCCCTTGCGGCGCCGCCCACGGCGCGCTCCGCGCGCCGGGGAGGGGGGGGTCCAGCGCGGATCCAAGTTTCGCGTATCCCCACCAGCCCATCCAGAAACGATGTCCAGGCGAGTTGAGGTGATCAGGGAAGTGCGGCAGCAAAGAGGAGGACGGCCGAACCGTGCAAAGGAGTGAGGAGAATGAGGAGGTGGATGGATGGATGGATGGATGAGGGAGTGGGAAGAAGGAGGATGAACTGGATGAGGAGGGGGCGGAGGAGGAGGAGGAGGAGGAGGAGGAGGAGGAGGAGGAGGAGGAGGAAGAGAAGGAGTAGGAGCAGGAAGGAGGAACAGGAGGAGGAGGAGGAGGGCAAGTACAAGGGCCAGAGGTCCCTTGGATGCCTCTCGGAGCCTCTTGGGGTATCTCTTGGGCGATTCTTGGTGGCCTCTTGGGACGTATTGGGGGTCTCTTGGCGATCCTGGGGGGCTCTTCGGGGTCTTGGGTGCCTCGGGGGGGGCCTCTTGGGGCCGCTGAGGGTCTTCTTGGGGGCCTCCTGGGGGCCTCTTGGGGGCCTCTTGGGGGCCTCTTGGGGCCATCTTGGGGCCATCTTGGGACCTCTTGGGGCCTCCCGGGCGCTTCTTTGTGCCATCTTGAAGGAGATCTATCAAAGAAGAGCGGAGCTTCAATTAGGGTTGCCCCCCCAGGAGGCCAAAATGGA